AGCTCGTAGTTTTTGGTATGTAAAAATTATCAAACTCATATAAACTTAAAAAATGTGATAAGCTTTTAAAAGTAGAGATTTCAAGCTTTAAAACCCTTTTTTTAAATTTGAATTTCATTCATTATTGACGAAGATATTGTATATACAACTTTGAGCTAAAAAATACGCGATAACTTTTTACTACACCTAATATTTTAGAAATAATAAAATAAAATAAATATCTTGGAAATAATGAAATCTCTAGGAACGTTTGTAAATACTGCGCTACTCTTATCGGGTTAAAGGGATCGCGATACTTTTTGCCGATTCTGCTTTTCGACGCGATTTTCCGCAGGCTGGGAAAGAAGCATTGATAAATTTGGATGAAACGTTGCAATTGACCGCGATCTTGTTCGCGCTTTTAACAACCGAGGAAATGATGTGTTCCATAATTCAGGGGAGCAGTACGTCCGACCCTTTTGCCACCGAATGGTCATTTCTGCATTCAACAGGTGGCCCAGTTTACGTGAAATGTTGATGAAAACTTTCCGCGAGCATCCGCGTGCGTTACGTTAAGAATTCTGACGAAAATCGCATAAGAGCACATTTAAATGCACAAGAGATCTCGCTCTGCGGTGCGCGAGAGTTACATTCGAAATACCCTTAAACTAATGTAAAATATAAAGTGATAATTCAGTTACAGTCTACATGTATCACAAATTTCTAATTCCAATTATGCGTCGGGTGATTGTCCCTCTGATAAATGAAATTAGTAGAAATATTTTTTTTACAAAAACAGCGTCTCTTTCGTCTCGGAAGAGGATAATGAGCGGAATTTTTATCATCGAGCTGAGACGGATGAAAAAAGTGGGCTCTTATAAGCTGCGCAAGAGAAAGGTATATATATATATTGCACTACTTCGCCTACGATCGACTTTATCGCTGCTCATTCTGAAAGCATCTCGATTCGTCGTTTTTACGAATTCACGAAATAAGATGCATCTGCCGATGTTATCGTATCGATCTTCAGCAAGAAGACGCCCAAACTTATTGAAATATTGATATCACTTTATGTCGAAGTATCTTCACGGTAGACTTACCTAAAATGACTAGCAAATCAAAATACGGATCTTCTCGCCGGTGTGGAAAAGAAGTTTCTCTGTGTATTAAAAAGATCTCAACGGCAGATCGTACGAGCATATTTGGAAGCACATACTGTTTACGGCTCTTTGGAGAAATCAAGCATGGTTTCGCTAAGAAATTAAAGAGTGTATTTCGTATAAAATTCCCTCGAGAAACTTTATTATTTCCCTGGCAACAATTGAAAAACTAACGGCCAGTTTCATTAACTTCAGTTTTCGATTTTTAAGTAAACCCTGCAATTTTGATGTTAACGAAAAACAAAGAATCGTTCAAATTAGCGTCTGTAGTTGAAGTAAACTAAAACGTTGACAAAACGATCCAACAGTGGTACGGTATAAAAAATAATTAAAAAAAACAATGCTAAGTACATCCTTAGATTATGTTCGGAGAGCTCGTATCAGCGTTATTGCGTCATTTTATTCTTGTTTTAACGTCTAATGAATGGTAAAGATGAAATGACAACAGCGTTGATAGCGCACTTCTCGAACACAATAATAGAATTTCCAATAAAATTTCAAATTTTATAAACATATACACCATGTGGATTTATTGCTGATAATGCAATATACAGCAGAAATTAGAATAACTGTGTATGACGTAGCGATTGTTTCTTTTAAAATTCTAGCGAAAAATAGTCAAATTCCAAATCTCCTTTCATTTTGTATTTACATAATTATTTTCACGTATACTGTAAAAGAAACATTTTGTATTTGTGATGAAATTGATCTTTCCTCAAATTTTCTCTGTCCGTGAACTTTTAATATATCCGAGCGTTTTTAATTTACCATCTTTTAAGGTACCCAGCTTTATTTAGCTTTTCAATTCTCGTTACTTCGTGTCGGATATTCATCGGTAACGGTATTCATCAGATACCCGCGTGACAATTCGCGAACTCTCTTCTTCTCTTAGCGTCAGGGAGAGAAAAATCGGGAAAAACGACTTTAAGAATAGCCTGAATATGTGCTCGGAACCAAAAGAAGCGGCACGATGAAATATTCAGAGAAACTTCTCTTCCCGCGAGAGAGGAAGAGACGAGCGTGAGATCTAGAGACGCCGATATGTCAATTACCTTCTCATCCTCGTTCCCGCGCAGCCGAGATTTTCACCCATCCGCCTATCCGCGACGTTTAAGCGGACGAGTAAATCGAATCACTTTGCGCTTACCGAGAGATACCCGTTGAAATTGGATGTTACCGGTGATTCGATGTCTGATCGTCGTCTATGATGCACAAAAGAGCCGAGGCGACTCCTCTCGACAACGGTAGCAAGTCATTAACTCATTTTGCAATTTCGAGCAGAATCTTACATATGTCCTTCCTCTTCTCATTTAAATTATTATCTTTTTGAATTTTAACGATTTGCAGAGATTATTTTCGAATTCAGTGATTCTAAAAGCCTCTTCAAGTTGAAGTAATTTAAGTTTCATGATAATTATTTTCTTTTTTTTTTTTAAATTCAATCTGCTATATTAGATTCATCGCTTTGAATTTGAAAATTATAAGAATCGAATTTAACGATCCCAAAAATCTTTCCAAAACAGAAGGAAATTTTTGCCACGTCGTGTATTCAAATACTCACAGTTCGATTTTCCACTAAATAACATCATTGACTTTAACGATTACCGTATCCGAATACACGATATCGCAAAAATTCCCTAATGCCTTCTGGTAAGTTACTTCGTTAAGTTATCTTGTGTCCACGGAATATCCGAAAATTGACGTTAAACCCGACTTTGAAGTTTGCACGATTTTTTTTTTTTTTTTTTAGCTTTACAGGCATCGTAGCGGAGACAAAGGGAACGCGAGGACTTGCTTGCTACCGCAATTGAGCGCGACGATAAACCCCGACCGACTTGAATTCGTGTAAAATAATCGAAACTAATCGCATCCGCATGGCGATGAGAGTCCCGTGCGTCCACCATGTTTGTCTTCCATCCTCTTTTTTTCCCCTCTTGGTCCATGACAAAAAAGTACTGCCTACGCAGCGAACTATTTTTGTTTTTTTTTTTGTTCTACCAGTCTACGTGATGACGGCCACTGCAATCTTCTGTTTACAGTCGACTGTGCACGACCGGCTGCAAATTGCGGATTGATCGGTTAGCACGGCGCGCTTTATTCGGGCACGTTGTTAGGTCTAAATGTGAGAATAGTCATGATCGATCGTGGGTGATATGTCAGCAGGTTTCGAACACCCTCGCGCTATTGTACAATATCAGACTGCGTCGGTGCAGACGTGATTAAGCGAAGCGATCGTCCGATGTAAGTGAACCCAGAAAACCCAGAGAGAACCCCAGATAAATAGAAATCGATCTTCGTCAATTTTCGAAAAGACGAGGGAACTCGAATCGCAGGTTGTGTACCTACTTGATCGTTGCCGCTAACCGCGGCGCCACTACATCGGCATCCCGGTCCTGGGCTGCTTATGGCGGCGTGTCGGGGTCGTCGCTCTCGCGCTGGCACGCCGACTCCAGGTGTTTGTTCAAGTACGACTTAAGGGCGAACGACTTGTGGCACTTGGAGCATTCGTAATTCTTATCCGCCGAGTGCGTCTGCATGTGCGCCCTTAGATTCGAGCGATCGGCGAACGCTTTACCGCAGTGAGCGCATCCGTAAGGTTTCTCGCCGGTGTGGCTGCGCAGGTGACCCTGCAGTAGCCAAGGTCGCGAGAACATCTTGCCGCAGACGCCGCAACTGTGCGTCAGCTTATGCGTGAGAACGTGCATCGCCAGGGCGGGCATGCTGACGTACGCCTTGCCGCAGTGGATGCACTTTTTGGCCGAATGAGAGTCGATGCTGCGATGCGTCTGCTTGTGCCGGGACAGATTCGACGAGGTCGCGTACTGTTTGCCTGGGAGGGAAAGGAAAATGCGTGAAATAATCTCGACGGTATGTCTATCGGGTCCAAATTTTAAATTAATTAATCAATTAATAAATTTATCGAGATAAAGGTATAATATTGGAGTTGAAATGAATCAACGCTACTTACCGCATTCGCAACACACGTAACGACCGGTTTTGGAGGTCTCGGGGGCCTCGATCGGTTCGGCGTCCTGACTCTTCTGTGCGGCGGATGCTTTCTTATGCTTCGATCTGCCGTCCGAAACGAGCAACGTGTCGTACGTGTAAGTCGCTGGTTTTATTTCATTGGGCTCCGTGTTAGTCTGCACCTCCTTGTCCTTCTGCGTCGGTTGTGAGTTCGGATTACTGTTCTCAATGTCGCTGCTGCATTCGGAAGTTGGCGGCGTTAATGGCGGCGTCGCTTCAATCTGTTGCTGCTGTAGCAATGACTGCTGCTGCTGTTGCTGCTGTTCCTGCTGCGGCTGCTGCTGTTCTTGCTGCTGCTGCTGCTGCTGCTGCTGCTGCTGTTGCTGCTGCTGCTGCTGCTGCTGCTGCTGCTGTTGCTGCTGTTGCTGCTGTTGCTGCTGCTGCCGCTGCTGTTGCGGCAGCTGAAGCTGCGGCTGTTGAGCGATAATTGGTGTGCACGGTATAGTGGATGTGCTATATGTCAGCAGGATCTCTTGTACAGGTGCCAAAGGTATGAAAACACTACCCGAGGGTGGCACAATGGCGGACTCATAAATGATACCGGTGGCTGTGGACTGTGGCTGTTGCTGATGATGACTGTAGATGTTCGAGCTGGTCAGCTCGATCGTGTTCACCTGATAGATTGGTTGCTCAGCCGATTGGTAAACCGTCATCTCTTGAACGTCGCTCGCCGGCGCCTCGATCACGCTTTGAGGACCGATCGCCACACTCGGTGGTGGCAAGGGAGGTAGAGATCGAGAGAGTTCTAGGAGATCGTGCGCCGCCTCCGTTTCCGCCGCGGAGCGATCTTTAAACATGGATGACACTTGACCGGGCATGGACATGTCACAGGATGTGATAACCGATTGTATCCTATCGTGCGTTCTCGAGTGTTCCGGAGTATCTTGTAGATGATAGGACGTTGACGTGGTGGACGGCGGAGATGGTTTTTCGGTGGATGGTGAATGGTGTAGCGTCGTGATAGACGTCGTAGCCTCGTCGCGTCTCTCGGGAGTCGTTCGCACGCTCGACGAAGGTAACGACGTCACCGTCGTCATTGTAGTTTCCTTGACGGTTGAGACGATTGTTTCTGTTGGCGATAGAGTCGTCAGAGACGCCGTTGTGGTGCACGCGATCACGACGGTTTCCATTCGCATCGTCATCGAGTGGTCCATCGCGGGATTCATCATGATGACGGATGATGGTACCGCTGCTGCGACAGTTGTGTCTGCGTTGCTCGGTTGTTCCTTCGAGGGGTCTACATCGGCCACGGCGGAAGTCATAACGGCCGTTGTGTCTTTCGATTGCGTGTTGGAACATTCTAAGATTATAAATAATAAGCTTTATTCGTGTATACAATAAATCCAATCAGATCACGCCTCATGAACAGAATGGGAAAAAAATGTATGTATAAATTGTACATTTAAATTTGTTACATATACTAATTGATATTATTGCAAAATATCTTTACTGCCTTATATGTTACAGAAGCAACGTATAAACTTATTTCTTTGCTTTCATTTAATATTTTTTAATCAAGATTTAACGGCGGCGCCGTAAGCTTTTAAATAGCATACCAAAAAATAGTGTTGATAGGAAAAAGTGTCGAACCTTGATGGTGGTAAGAAAAGTGCAGCGATAAATGAATGATAGGAGGGTGGGAGAAAGAGATGGATTGCACAGTACGGATTGAGAAGATAGGGGTAGTGAGATTATGACGGCAAATATGTTAGGAACGAGATCAAAGGGGATGGGGGTAGAAAGAATCAAGAAGGTCTCCTAGGTTAAGCGAATATAAAATTTCACGATGACTCGGTTGTGAATGTGCACGTTTCGTTTAAAAATGACCGATTTCTCGATCCAGATGGATCTGTTTTAATATTTCTACATTGTTGTTTTTATATGTTTCGTAAGCAGAATGAATTTTTGTTTGAACTGTGATCACGAAGAGAAGTTTTGCCGTTCGCAAAAAGATCGACTGGTATGAATATTATGCGAATGTAGATATTCTGCTTTTCGTACTGTGTTATTTTCATTTGTATAATATAAAAAAGTTATATCAACTTCAGATATATGTAAAATTTTTATTGCAAGTTGCACAACTGCGAAAATACGTTCTTATTACGTTCACATATGAGATATTTATTAAGATGTAAATTATTAAAAATTTTATACAGCGTCTACATTTTGTATATATAAAATAGAAAATTATTAAATTAAGACTTTGCTCATTTTTCCTTCTACAAATAATTAAAAACACGTGGAAATAAAGAAGAGAGAGAATAATATTTTTAAAATAATACATTAATGTGCAAGGACTCATTGATATTAAAAAGTCAGATAAATATAATATTAAAAAATCAAATGATATTAAAAAATCAGAAGAAAAATGGACAAATAAAAATCAAGTGCAGTTAATGAGACGTCAAATAAAGTCCATTAAAAATAGAAATACATACAATTTCAAATGAGAAACAATGGGATAATAAAATACAATATTGTAGAATACGATATTATTACTGAAAGTGATTAAAAAAATGGGCCAAAATATTTGAAATTTCGTGTATTTTTAAGTAGAATTAGATTTAATTTTGCATCCCACTAACTGTGCTTGACTCTCATTTGCCCATTTTTCTTCTGATTGTTGGATTTTTAATTATATAATTTTTAATTTCATAATTATGTGTCTCAAAAATTTATTTTAGATATTCAATTTGGATATCTTATTCCAAAAATATATTCATATATTATTTTTAATAATACAAAAAATAATTATTCCGATTAAAATTTTAATAATTACTATACAAATATCATGAAACTGTCCAATAAATTTCGATAAAGGACTTGTTATTTTTTGCAAAACGATTTCGGTCAATTGTAAATTATTCATTCGTTGCGCGAACTCTCTTTGAAACTCTCGCTTCTTCGTGCTGACGAAATACTATAAACGTGCATCGCCATTACGATGATTCCGAATGCCACTGCACTTTGTAACTGCATTTACTATCTCGACAAGTTTCGCATACCGTTTTCGCCGTTCACACGAGAAGTGGATACGTCGTACAAGTAGTAACGCCACGGAGAATTCCGACAATTAAGGTCGTTTTGTTGCGACCAGGTAACGTATTATTGGGAATTACGCGGTGCGCACCAGCGTGTGCTATTATCATTTGATAATTTGATATAAACGCGTATCGGAACTTGAATCGGTCGAAGTGAATATCGGTAAAGTGACGCTAAAGCGCTGACACAATTACGAAAGAATAAAAAAGAGTAGCTATTACATTTTTATTCAATAACTTCAAAAGATATCTCACATATTTTATTGCCCATTTTACACACGATTTTATTTATATATATATTTAGTTTATATATACATATATGTATTATATTTTCCTATATTGTTTATATCATAATGTAATATTGAGCTTTTCATTTTACTAATTGTAAGTTTAATCCTTCGATGTTATTCCCAGGGTGACATACCCGAGGTTATTTTGCTACGCTGTAACTTTTTTATTTATATATAAAAATACATTTACTCGTTGCTCGTTTGTACTCCTTAATATTTGACGTGTCGATAAAAAAAAAAAAAAAAAAAAAATTTATTACGACATGTTCATTTTTTATAACATCTAGTGTGTGGTGTAAGTACATAAAAACGATGTAGAGACGAGAAGGGTTGAAGCTACTTTGGCGTTGTGTGTGTGTCGGGGGAGTGGAAGGTATTGATCGATCAGCCGATTAACTTGTAAAAATAACGATTATAACGATCACAGATCTCCGGTAAAATACGCAAAGTTGGCATACCTTGTGCAACAGGGGGTGCAATGCACTTCTGTACGGGCGAGATGGGTATGGTGGTTGGCGATGGCGTGCTCCTTCCGCGGCCCCAGCTCTCGAATCCTCTGGCAACGCTGCTTATGTACTTGTTGCACAAGGCCTTCTTTACCATATAGCACCGCGGCATCTTGGCTGATCGTCGCTCTCTTCCCACCAGGATTAATATCGAAATATCGCTTTAAGATCACCAAACAACCGCGTAGGGTAAACAACCCTCTTGAGCCTTCCTCGGTCCTTCGGTGTGACGGCGTACTTTATTGCGAGTGCGTACCCGCGGCACGATCAAGAAGTACCGCGTACTTCTTATTGTATTGATCGTGTATATATATATCGCGCAAATCCCCTTTGCAAAAATCGCGGCAAACGATACACTACGATATATATACACATATATATATATATATATATATATATGTATATATCGTTCACCGTTAACCGTTCTGCCGCTCGTTTCCGTTTTCACGAAAATGTCAAAATGTTTATCTTTCTTAATTCATTAACACGGAGATTTTTACCAGGCACACGATCTTTCAATTGATGCTTCAGCTGTTCGTCCCACTCTTCTTTCTCTAAGGTATCCTGAGACACGACATGGTCGTTTCGTATCGATCTATCGGCGGCAGACTGTCCCAATTAAAGTTCCTTCTACTCAAAATTCCTTTCAGTAGCAAAGATGAGCGAAAACGAGATTCTCTTCTTAGGGAAGATGAAACGCTCAGCTCGAGATGGCTATCTTGGCGATATCGCTTGATTTAATTCTAGACGTCGTTGCACGATTATTCAATAGGACTCTGCGTATAAATGTATATATATATATATATTTTTTTTTGTTTTGTTTTGTATAACTATATACAGGGATGAGAGTGAGCGCGTACGATCGTGGTGTCTATATGCGCGTGTATACATTCATATTAAAATATCTCTTAAGTGAAGCGAGGAGCTGGGAGGAGGCTCTCGATCGGTGGGTGATCGAGTCCGAGAGCGGGAGAATAATACACGGTATCAGTTCTTTGTGATTTCCAAAGCGCGATCGGAGGGCGGTGATTAAGTGCGAGATTATGGGAGGGTGGTGGAAAGCGTGTGCGGCTTGCCTTTGCTTTGTTCCTCGAGATTACCTTGTTTGTAGTATTGCTTTCGTTGTATATTCACGGGTGGAAGATTTACATGCTTTACGGCGTCGGTCTCATGCCCGCCTAGTGTCTCGACGTTCGCAAAACGTACGCAAAACGTCTGTCAAACGTGCGCGTTTTACCCATCTAGCTGAGCTCTCTTCTCTCTCTCTCTCTCTCTCTCTCTCTCTCTCTCTCTCTCTCTCTCTTTCCCTTTTTCTCTTCCTCCGCTTCACCGCCGTAGGTTCGTTATCCTGCACTGCCTCCGGCAATACATGCGTCGCCGGGAATGCGCGAATCCACGTCGGGGCTTCCGTCGCTCTGGTTCCGCGAGATTCACTCGCGAACTCTTCATTCGCCCGGCTGCTCCAGATGATATCTCGTCACGCCGATTCCCGATGACGTCGTTGCCCCGGGACGTCTCGATAATAATATCCTCATCGCAACACAATCTGGAACTTCGAACTAACGGACGTTCAACTCCTCTGCAAATTGACTGTGAACAATGTACGCGAGTTTTCTTCAGGATGAGGGGGAGAGCCTCGTTTGATTATCGTAATCGAGAGACGCGATTGTCCGTTTTCGTGAAAAATGCGAATGCCAACGAAGCGACGAACAGTAAAGAATTTTGAGAGCTCCGAATACGAATGGTTGAATTTCTATAAGGAGTTGGTCCTCTGAATTAGCCAGCGCGCGTCATTAGTTGTCACTAGTTTCCTTTGGATTGTAAGAAACGGATTGTACTCTCTGAAGGTGAGAAGCGGGGCTTTCTGGTCTTCTTCAATGTTCTCTTCTTCATTCGTACAGAGCGGGAAGTCTCGTAAGATGAATCCAAATTTGTTCACGATCCAATATATCCCGATTAAACGTAGTTAACACCGTATTAAGCTCGTTCAAAAATCTATATTGGGCGGTAGAAATTCTTATCGCGATACAATACTGGGGATACAGTACCAAATCGTCTTTACAACATTTCCTCTTTCCTTCCTCGCCTCTGAAACCCAATTTGGATCTTCGTTTGTCGAAACGTTCTCTCCTTCCGCAGCTTCGAGTTTCGGAGTTTCTCAGTCTGACCGTATTTCCATCCTCACCTTCTTCGTCCGCGTACTTCTGGGGAGCAGTCGGAGCTCGATCGTCGGAGCGCGCACGTTCCAAGTTGCCAATATGCGAGACTGTTGGATTCCTCGTAACCGGCGCTAGTTCCTTTTTCGAAAACAACCTCTCCTTCGACTCCGGAGACGGGCGGGTGTGCCTTCGCAGGGACGAGCAACAAGTTGGACAACAGGTCCGCGATGTTGTGTATCCGTGTGCGCCGGTGTGTGCGAGCGCTACCGCCGCCGCCTTACGTGTGTGGTCGATAGCTCCCTCTAGCCCTCTCCGCGACCCCGGAAATCCCGCGCGCACCCCCTTGCAACCCCCGTTCTCGCGCTCCCGCTACCTATACACGGTACAGTGTACACACAGTCGCAGTCGAAAGCGAGTTGGCTGACGAGCGCGCCCGAAACTACGGTACTTCCCCCTGGCTTCACCGCGGACGCCGATGCTTGCGTCACCGATGATTCTCTCCTTTTCGACGTTTCCTCGGGTCGAGAGCCTTGACCAGGATCCCGACAGGCACCGACGTAGCGTGTCTATGATGATTCGTTCGGCGGGTACGTGGACTACCGGTAGTCTCGCACAGCGGACGGATATACACGAGGCGTAACCACGACAACGAGCACCTCGATGGTCACGACGACAATGACAACGACGACGACGACGGCGACGGCGACGGCGACGGCGGCGGCG